TCCGAGGACCCCAATTTGTGGGTTTCTTCCCCAAAAGCAGGATCTGAGGAGGGCGGGGATCACCTAGCAGCAACTTTTGCCTCCCTGCTTGCTCGGAGCAAACGGGATTTATATCGAAGCCCGAAGTGATGCCCGGGCTGTCCCCACCACGGCTGGCGCTGGTGAACTGGGGGTGGCCCTGAGCAGTCCCATTTCCTGCGGTATTTCTTTATTCCCGTTTTTTTTGGCCAGGATGCAGGGCAGGCTGCAGCAGGAGCTGGTGCAGCCTGTGCGGTCCCTCCCGGCCACGGCAGGACCGGCCGAGGAAGCGTTTTATTTCCCCCCTTATAACTGGATTTTGCCGCCCGCGTTTGAAGCCTGAGGTTCTAATCCTCTTTTCTGCCATATGGCCAGTGAAATCCGACTCGATTAATCACTGTGAGGAAAAGCCCTTGGGGTGAAGCCTCGCGGGCCGAGGATGCTCCGAACAGCAGCACCCGCCTGGCCCCGGAGCCGGGCACGGGTTTGGGCTGTTAAAAGGGGATTTTTCGATTCACTTTCCAAGGGGGAATCGCGAGCCCTGCTGCCCTCTCGCCTGGCTCCGTCGTTTGTGGGGTAAAACCCCGGGGGGCTGGAAATGCCTCCCCTGGGCACTGATGGAGAGGAAGCCTTTGTGCCTCCCCCTCCCAGGTCCCTGCAAAAAAATAAAATAAATAAATAAAAATTCATAATCCCTGCTGCGGTGCTCCAGGGCTTGCATGGCCCGCAGGCAGTGCTGCTGGCCAAGGGGGAGCCTGGATTTTCTTTATTGTTATTATTTTTCTCGCATTCCAGGCTCTCGCCTCTCTTCTGGCTGTTCCTCCCCTTCTGTTTTTGGGGGGGAGGAAGGCATCGCCCCAGCGCCTCTTTTTGGAGGGGGCAACGTGCCCAGCTCCCCAGCGTAGCCTTCCCAGGCTCCGAGCGGAGCGGCCGAGCGATCCCGTCCAGCGGGGCCGGTTGCTGTGGGAACCGGCTCCGCCGGCACCGCGAGCGATGCTCTCCGCGCGCGTCCGTCCCTCACGTCCGTCCCCTGGATTTGACACCCCAGTGTTGATTAGAGACACCAAACGCAGTTTTTCTGCAAGCTCTGTGCCGAAAAATAAGAAAATATCCCCGCTGTGGGATTGCATCAAGCCTTATAACCTCCCCGAGGTGCTTCATGTGCAGCTACTGGGGCCCTGGACACCTCCTGGGCAGCAGATGTGCTGAAAGCTGCTCATGGTACCCAAGACCATTAGTGTTCACCTCATCAACTCCTCCTCTTGCTTCTCGCACGTTAATTTTCTTCCCCCGTTGCCTCTTGTGGTTATCGCGGCTCCATCTAACGAGTTTGTCCAAGGGGAGGGCGAGACGCTGCTGTGGTGGGCGACTTAGCGGAGGAAAGTGGGATGAGATCCATTGGTTGGAAAGCAGCCTGGCTCGTGTTCAGTTTGGGTGCCCGGGTGTTGAGTGGTTGGGTTGTGTCAACACTTGCCCAGTGGCCTTGGGTTGGCCATGGGCCTCACGCTCCCATAATCTGCTATTTTGAGGCTTCTGCTTGGGATGGATTTGGGACCTGCAGCATCATCTAATGCCCCATTTCCTGAGGGCACTAATGAAGTTGGTCCCTAACGAAGACTTCGGGACCTTCTCCCCTTGAGCCATGATGGGATCCATAGAATCATTGTGGTTGGTTGAAAAGACCTTCAAGATCATCAAGTCCAACCCTAAACCCATCACCACCATGCCTATTATCCACCCTAAGACTGGGACACAAATGGGGTCCCTGCCTAAGAACGCGCTTAGGGGTCCTTTGGGGACGTGTTGCGCTAGATGGAGTTGAAACACAACCCATGTTAACGTGCATTTATGAAACTCAGCCCAAACTAACACGCACTTACGAAATGCAACCCAAACGAACATGCATTTATGAAACAAAACCCAAGCTAAGGTGCTTTCCCGACGTAACCAGGGAAAATCTTCTGCCCCGAGAGCACTGGGCGTTGAGCAAGAGCCGAGGAAGCCTCTCCGTCGGCGAGCGAGCGCGGAAGTAGCTAGGCAACCCGGAGCGCTCCCGGTGACTGGCACGTTGGGGAAAATAGTGACACCGGCGTTTGGGCTGATTTCTGCACTAATTATAGGAAGGGCTTCTCAGCGCTGTCATCCCGCGCCGTGTCAGCGGCAGCTGGTTGTGGAACCTGCGCTCCTCCGTCGGGAGGAAAGGGGATTTTTTGGCTGCTTTTTGGAAGAGCTGCTTTGGACTTCAGCTTGGACTTCAGCTTGGTGCCCTGGATGCTGTCGGGCGGTGCTTGGAGGAGCCGTTGGTCTGGAAAGCTGCTTGGGATGCTCCAGAGCGGTCCCTGCCCGGTCCCTGTCCTCACTGGAGTGCTTGGGGTTGGTGACCCTGAATCCAGTGGGTTTGAAGGGAATTTTCCCTGGGATTTTGCCCCTGTGGTGGTACCAATCCCACCCGTGGGTTTGCATGTCCCCTTGCTGATGCCATGCATGGTCATGGGGTAAGTGACATTGCGTGTCATGGAACCTGGGCAGAGAGCCAGGAAGAAACCATGTTCTCTTCTTGTCTGTTCTTGTCCGAACCTCATCCAAGAGGGAAAAACACAGGTGCTGCAGCAGGATAAAGCACAAGAATATTTAACAAGAGCAACAAATCCCCATCATATCTCCCTGCCAGGGAGAGCCCCACTTGAACAGGACTGGGCAGCCAAGAGGCAGGAGTGTGATGCCCTTAAGGAAAATCCAGAGCCTGTGTGACATAGGATGCCCCAGTGAGCAGGATGAGCTTTCCAGTGGTCCTAATCTCCACGGAGCCAGGAAGCCTGAGGAGCTGAGTGCATTTCACTCACGCATTGAATTTTTGGAGAAGTTGGGCTTTTCGTGTCGTTCTGGTTAACAAAGTGTCAGCCACCGCTGGATGCAAAGTGTTCAGGATTGATTTCAGTCCTTTCCACACCAAATGTCTTTAGTTGGACTCATTGCAGATAAAGGAAAGAAGATTGAAAAACAGGCATTGGAAATCAGGGAATGGACCTTGAGCATGACCAGGGCTCTTGGAGCAAGGGGAGCTGGAGCTGGATGTGCCCTTCTTTCCCTGTCCCAAGGGTCTCCCTTGGCCTCCAAGCCTTTCCTGGTGGGATTGGTCCTGTTGCAGTCAGCTCTAGGGCATGGGGCTTTGCGCTACCTCTAATGAAGCAGGGAGGATGGAGAATAGACCCCATTCTCCTCCTGTCATCCTGAGGTTTTACATGAACAGAAATGGCTCTGATGGAGATTCCTCAATCTCCAATTTCCATCTTGTCAAGTCAGTGTGGACACCGGCTCCAAGCAGCCCTGAGGGATGCTGGAATACAGCATGGATGTCCCAGGAGCTGGACAGAACGTCACTCCTCACCCTGTTCTGCCCACTGATGGGCTGCTCTGGTGCTCCTGGATGCTCCCAGGACACTTGGACGGGACGTCCAAGCTGCAGGGAGCCCAGGTCACGCATCTTCATCCCGCGGGTGCTGCTGCTGCCTCCTCCTCCTCGTGCCAGCTCGCTGGCGTGGGCAGAAGCTGGATGAGGAGGTGAGAAATCCTGGAAGATTTTTGCCTTTCTGCGACAGCTGGAGTGTGGATGCAGGAGTGGGACGGGCGCTTTGGCAGATCCAGCTCCGTCCAAAGCGTGAGTTGGCCTGTTGATTTTCCAGCTGCTCTGGATTCCTCAGCACTTTCCGATGGGCAAACGGGGATTTTGGGAACGAACCGAACTTTTATGGAAGACCTGGTTTTGTGCAAGTTCTTTGGCGTGCTGAAGAGGAGTTTGCGTGGGGACCGGGAGCCGCGCTGGGCACACGGGAGCCCTTTGCCTTTTCCTCCCCGCTGCTGTGGCTATTCCGCCGGGCTTCAACGGAGCGCCGTTGACTCGGCAGGAAGCGGGGCCGGGAGGCACGTGGGCTCCGCGCGGTTTCCGGAGGGTTATCGCAAACCGGCAAGGCCAGCGGGAGGAGCGCGCGGCTCCCGAGCACCCGTTTTGGGAGCGGGGCCTCTGCCCACGGCGCTGCGGCAGCCCGGCTGAGGCCGGAGCATCTCGGTGCACCTCCTGCTGCTCCAAACCCTGCTCTGCCGCTCGCCCTGGGGAAGAAGGACCCGCGTTTCTGCTGCAAACTGCCGTCCCACTGGGGACGAGGAGGCGGTAGCGGGGCACGGAAGTTAAATTTAATCGCAATAATATGGGTCAGGTCACCTCCCAAGACCAGAGCCACAACCTACTGCATTCCCAGCCAGGCCGACGGGGGCTTCTCCCGCCCCGCGACTTTAAACCGCAACCACAAAACAAACTGTCTCTATGGGTGCAATGAGTTGTGCGTGCTCAGCTCTCCCACCCAGGAGACCCCGGCAGCTTTTGTAGCAGTAAATCACTTTCGTGAAAGACTGTGACCCGTTTGATGTATTTTATGCTTAAAATAGCTCCTTATGAGTAATGTGGTTCAGGTGTTTATCGCTAATTAATTAATTCAGTTGCATTGCGGATAGCTAATTAAGGCGGTCTAAGCTAATTCCTGTGGGGTCTTAAAACTAATGGGATGGTGAAGGTGGTTGTCCCTCTGCTGATGCAACTTGTTGGGTGATCCCCAGCGGCTAGGAAGGTTTATTAGGCTTTGCGTGAGTGTTACTTAAAATAAAACTCTGCTGAAGGTTGGATTTGGGGGCAATCCTTGGAGAGGGCCACGTGGCTCCTGGTGCCACCCTGGGCTTGTTAATGTGATATATTCACCCTGGGTTGCATCCCTGTGTTAAGGGTCAGTGGGTTGTGCAGCGGCTGGTGGTGCTACAAGTGCTGACCGAGCTTGGAGGGTTGTGGTAGCCTCAGTAGCTCTGGCTTTGGTGCATTTTTGTGCAGAAGATGCCTTTTCTGGCCCCAAAAAGCACTGGATACACGGAGGTGGCAGAACTGTCCCCACTGCAAGCACGACGCGGCATCCAGAGCCATCCCCGGCTCTGCAGCAGCAGCAGACCGGAGAACCTCAGCTTTTGCTGCTGAAATTTGAGGCAAAATGCCACAAACGGCTCCCGTTCAGGGCCAGCACCACCTTCCTCTCCAGCCTAAGATTCCCGAGGGGTTTGGGATTTGCACCTGCAGCCGGCATCACCCGCAGTGAGGAGCCAACAAGATCCCTGCAGCGAGGAGCTCGCGGCATCTCCCCCGGCCCGGCGACGCGGCTCTTGCCCCTTTTGCCTGGAATATCTGTGTGGTTTTAGGTGTATTTTTAGCAGTTTCTTTTTCTGGCGAAGCTAGCTCTAAAAATAGGTGAAAGCAGCAGGGCGGCTTCAAGCGGCAGCCGGAGCCCGCCGCCGCCGAGGGAGGTATCCCCCCGATCTGGCTGCCCTGGAGCAGCGGGAATGCACGGCAAGGCGCTCGCTGCCACCTCCATGGGCTGGTTTGGAGTATCCCAAAACATTAAACAGAGCAAAAATTGCTTTGATTTTTTTTTTCCTCCTTCCCCCTGCAATAACAGCTGCCTGTTTAAGGTGTCTGGACCACATGGTTTTGGCAAAGGGTTTTGCACGGTCCTTCTGTCCGAACGAGGAGCTGCTGGCAGAGGCAGGTCCCAGTTGGCAGAGAAAGTGCCCAAAGAGGAGCTGCCAACAGCCCTTGGCCGCCCAGCTCGAAGCCTCTTCCCGTGCCCCATCGTATCCGTCCAACCCGTGACTTTTGCGATTGATTTTCCCCTTTTTCCCTCCTCTTTCAAGGTGCTGAAGGGGAAGCAGGAGCAGAGGTTCCCGCGGGGAGGCGCGACCGCGGCGCACGGAGCCGCTCCTGGTAAGAGCGCGGCTCCTCGGAGCAGCGGGAGCAGCGGGAAGCTCCGGCATCCCGCTCAGCATCCGAACGGCCCCTGCACTCCGCTGGGATCAGGGCAGCCAGCCAGGAGCGATGCCGGAGGCTCCCTGGGAGGAGGAGGAGGAGGTGGGAGGAAGCAGAGGCCGTGGCGTGCGCTCGCTTTGGCTCCACGGCCCCAATCCCCCTTCCTGTAACACCAGGAGCCCGAGCTCAGCCGGGCTCCTGCTTTTGCAGCCTGCGCTCTTAAAAATAAACACCTTAAAAATAAACACCCGTGTGTTTATCGCCAGCACCCCCTGAGCCGGGCTCGGAGCAGCGAGCGCCGCGCGCCCATGGCGAGCAACAACACGGCGAGCATCGCCCAAGCGCGCAAGCTGGTGGAGCAGCTCAAGATGGAGGCCAACATCGACAGGATAAAGGTGAGACGGAGGGGACGGCGCCGTCCCTCCGCTCCGGGCCTAAAAAAAACACCCCCCTTCTGCGGCGCCCTCAAATTCCGGACCTATCCGGAAAAGGCGGTGAAAAATCTCATGCAATTCAACAAGGCCAAGGGCAAGGTCCTGCACCTGGGGAGGGATAACCCCAGACACCAGGACAGGTGGGGACTGACCTTCTGGAGAGCAGCTCTGCAGAGAGGGACCTGGGTGTCCTGGTAAACGACAAGGTGCCCATGAGGCAGCAGTTGCCCTCGTGGCCAAGAAGGCCAATGGGATCCTGGGGTGCGTTAAGAAGACCGTCTGCAGCAGGTCGAGGGAGGGGATCCTGCCCCTCTACTCAGCCCTGGTGAGGCCACATCTGGAGTATTGTG